TATTTCCGCTGAGGTTTCCTGAGGTATTGCGCCGGTAGGCGTTTACATGGGTTGGCGTTATTTGATGCTTGCTTAGTTTGTTTTGGCCGCGCCAGCCTTTAAACCGCTTGCATCCGCGAAATCAGGCTCAACATAAGCGTGGATAGTTTGCATGTGGTAGATAGGCAGTCAAGGCTAGCCCAACAACCCTAAAATCGGCTAACCTTAGGCCACACACACACGCACACGGGCTTTTTAGCAGTTCTCTTGCAGTCTCAGTGTCAAAAAAAAGGAACATGAGCACTGGGCACTAAGAATGCAAGCAAGGCATGATTGGTTCTGGCAGCTCAACGCTACCGATTTTCCCCAGTGTGACCACTTATGCGCATGGCATTTGCAACCTGCTTGGTAACAGGGATTCCATGCATCAGCAAAGCCCCTGTTTCTGTCAGGTAGCGTTTGTGTTTGTTTAGCCAGATCCGACTCGATCCGGTTGTCAAAGTAAAGAGGACATCCCAAGCTTTCTTGGGTCTGTAGGCCGGGTTCTGATTCAAATCATAGGCAGCTATATCTGCAAACATGCCCTCGTAAGCAGTCCGACCTTGGCCCAATGACTAAAGGCTTGAGAAGTAGGAGGTGTCGTTTAAACCAGTTGGCGCAAATGCAAAACACACTTCAGACAATGTAAGGCAAGTACGAATCTCGTAATTGCCTTCGCGCTCATCAGTATGGTCCAAGTCGAAAAGCATATCGTGAAAAGAGAATCTGGAAGAAATTCGGAAGAAATTCTGGTCAAAGTCCAGAGAGCTTGCATGCCTCAACAAGATACGGCAGCTTTGGCTGCCGACCTGCCCTGAAAGAACTGCAACTAAGCCAAGGACTGTTGGGAACGGTGACCAAACAGCAAATATGTTCTTCTCCGGGAAATTGGATATCCGTAAAGACGAGGGTCCAGCTCCATCAATGATAATAATTCAAACGCACGACCTATGGCGAGAATGTTGTACTTTGAACTTCAGACATCACACCAACTTGTTTGAAGGTCTCCCGCCCTGCCTACTAGTTCTCGGGAAGGCGACCGCGTTCTCATGCACCAATATTATAATATGTCTGACGCATGTTGCAAGGCAGCCTTCAGCCTAGGCAAGACATCATAATAAGGGAGTAGCCACAAGCCAGAAAAACAATAATGTGGGAGAGAAAGGAAGAGGAAAGAGAAAGGAAATTGAAAGAACACATGAAACCATCACCATCACCATCACCATCGCCAGCAGCAGCAGCAGAAGCAGCATCAGCGTCGGCGTCAGCGTCAGCATCAGCATCAGCATCAGCCTCCTCCTCTTCTCCCCTCCTCCTCCTCATCCTCCTTGTCGTCGTCGTCGTCATCGTCGCAGTTGTCAGCGCCCTCACCATCATCATCACAATCATCATAATCAATACAGTGGCAGGAAATTGACGAGGAGAAGGGGATAAGGAAGGAGATTGAGCTGTCCTACTAAGGTGGCCCTAATGCGCTTTGGGGCCACCATGACCTGCCAAGTCACAATCGCCATCATCATGAGCCCCTCTTCCACTCAGCCCCCGCAAAAAAATGCAAGGCAAGGCACATTGTAAGGAATATCGACGCCGTCCTTCCTTCAACCCCCAGCCTTTCTCCCCAAAACGACCATCCTTGGCGAGATGTTTTCTTTGCACGCGGGCGTGGCCAAAATTCCAAGTTGCCAAAATGCAAATCAAGGGGCAACACGTGTCGACCCCATAAGACCAATGCGTAGGTGCGCTTTGGGTTTCTTGGGTGTTTCTTGCGGGCGTAGCAACTTGGCTGAGCGCAGGAGCAGTAATATTCACAAAGCAGTTGCACTAATGCCTTGGCGCATAACAAACAAACCAAGTCACTAGCACAACTACTCGAGCTCAATAGTTGGATCCAGAAACAATGGAATAAGCTCATCCAAGGTTTTCCTTACAGGGATGACAAAAGTTCGTCCATAGTTCGTCAATTTTTCCAGGGGGGAAACCCAAGTTCGTACAATGTTCGTACAATTTCCCTTTAAAAGTTCGTACAATATTGACGAACCTTTAAAAAATGACGAACTATGGACGAACTATGGACGAACTATTGTCGAACTTTCCAAAAAATGTCACCCCCCCAACCCTCCTGGCAAATACGAACACCACAGGTTCACAGGGTTCTGGCCCTGCCGAAGTGAGCATTTGGCATAGAAGCTCTCGTGCTTCAGCCACACCCTGTGCTGCGCTTGTAGCTGTAGTGTTTGCCACGCAAACCAGTGTCCAACCTTTGTGCGCTTTGCCAACACTTTTCTTGAGAGCGTGGGTTCTCGTCAAGAGTGTTGACAAGACATCACCTTTATGATGCTGCGCGTTGTCGATGGTTTCGACCAGATCTGTCATGCACATGCTTACCTGCCGCAGCACTGTGTGAGACACTGGTTGTCTTGAAGTGACTATGTTTTAAAGAAAGGGTACCTATACTGTGGTGGGTTTGAAACGACACCCAAGCACGCATCCATGAAATGCCTGCATGTTACACTTAAAGGGTGGCTTGTGATTAGATTTATGGCGCACCAACGACAAAGTGCCAATCTTGTTGCCGTGAAAAGACTGGGGCAAAGAAACTCAATCTCCACCATGGTTTGACACAAAGGGTCATCAAATCGAATCAAACCAAACCTTAGCGCAACCAACAAGTTGCACACAACCCTCAAAGCGTTGGAGGTGGCAAACACAAACAATGCAACCCTTGGCAATCGCTTTCCAGCGATCGCCCTTGTGAAATTGGTGGTTGATGAACCGAGTGAAGATCGGAAGAGATTATTCCCTTTGCAAAAGGCCTAGTATTGGGTATGTGCACGTACGGCAGCAATTCCCCCGCCTGTGTTCCCGAAACATTCTTTTCACGTGCAGCGGCGTCAACAGACAGCGTAGCGCGCAAGAGAAGTTGACAGGAGATTTTTTTTCGATTCGCGGTGTCAAGCTTGCTCATCAGAACTTGCAGAAGCTACGAAGTGACATTGATGTTTTTACGCTTGTTTCTCACCTGCAGTGGGAGAGGTATCAGAGTTTACTTGACGTCTTTCTATGCTTCCGGGCCACCCGTCGTCAAATTAAACCCAATACTATTTGGGGTCTCTTGCCGGGAGAATTTGCAGGGGCTTCCCCCAAAGGAACCCGCGCCCATGACCACGGGGGCCGGACCGTTTTTTCAAAGAAGGAGTTGGCGCAGGACCGCCCCTGCAGGGTACCGCAAAAGGGTCGACGAAAGGGAGACACAGGGGATATCCCATTTGGAAGGAGCAGACTTCGCCAGTTTTCAAAGCAACCCCCTACTAATGAATAACCCCCAATTCGTTAAAAAAATCGAACTCCGGGGCCCGGGACCAGATTTGCACTCCGCACAATTGATTTTTAATTGAGCCAATACTATACCCTTACTAAAGTCTTGGAATCCTTATTAGTTGTAGCAGAAATTAGGAACTAAGAACTGACACTGAGAACCTCACTTCGCTGCCACCCGCCCTTGTTGGTTAGATTTGAAGGGAACCATGTTTGATCTGATTCTCGCCCAACTGTAACGCCGAACACCTACCGCACAAGTGTAGGCAGGAGTAGTTGACTGGGGGTTTACTTGATTAGCAAAAGGAAGCTTGGAGTTTAGAACTTCTGACGGATAAGATCTCGTTGCAGTCAAGTTGGCAGGCGACAAGCAAGCAAGGTATGCTGGGGAGGGGAAGGAGCATGGACAAAAACCAATTTTTACAAATTGCTTGAAACCGGGCTTGTATATTGGTTTTGCGAATATATAGACGTGTTTTTACCTGAATCCTGCGTGTCAATAGTTGACCAAACTCACCCGTAACCCTAGGAAACCTCAACGGAAATAGTAGTTTGGAGCACCCACTCAAACACGTGTGTGTGCATGATGTGAAACATCAGGATGAACCTTTTGTAAGTTTGCAGTTGGAACGCTTGGCAACAGACCATGTGTTACCGATGAGGCGCTTTTCGGTTCGCATGAAAAGTTAGGAAGCTGGCCCTTGCTGGAGGGCGTGGTGGCCACGAAAAGCACCCCCGACAGCGTGGACCTGAAGCTGTCGAACTGCAGCACCACGGTAGCCAGAACTTGGCCAACAACGCACGCTGGCCACGGTGGCCGCCAACTACGGCCTCAAGACGGTGGTGGACCAGCACTCCCTTGCAAGGATCACGCCGCTGGAGGTCGACACCAAGGTGGCCAACGCTCTTCTGGGCGTCGTCGCCGTTGCAATTGAGGGAGGGGGAGTGCGGCTCTTGTCGACACATCTTTTTAATAGTTGCACGAATAAAAATTGTAGCATGGCGGGTGTGTGCCGTTCTTTTGACGCAGGTTGGTGCCGCTGGAGAGAAGCTTGTTGGTGTTCGCAGAAGATTTGCTGTGATGGTTGATTGGAGCGTGTTGCTTGCTGCGTCCGACGGTGCAAGGCTGGGACGAAGCTTTTCATAAGCGCAAGCCCAGTTAGAACTTGCGGTTGGTTGCGCGCATCCTGCTGGGAAGAGCGTCTGCAGCGGCAACGGCGCAAACCTGTGAAGCCAATCTGTTTGCTTGAAAGACGACAAACTTGATGTTTTGCTGCAGTTGCGCGCACATTTTTCTGGGTAGTTTTGCATTCCTAGGCAAGGTTTTCGGGTTTCTTTTTGCGTCCGCCGTCAAAGCTCCAAACGGGTCTTGCGCGGACGTGCTTTTGCTTCTCGCGAAAGTGCGTGTGAAAGAGAACGTGGGCTGTCTGCGCTGAGGGGAGCCTTTTTGGCACGGGTTTGATGACTGCGAACAAAATCAAGTGTGTGCAAGCTGCTACGCCAACTTGGGAGTTGCCGCGTGCTGTTTCACATTTGCGGGTGAAGGAGCAAGGTTTCGCAACAACAACAAGAACAGCAGCAGCAGCAACAACAACAGCCCTTTTTTCAACTTGAAAAGCGACACATCTCCTTGCAGAAATTTGGTTTGTCAGCTGCAAGCCGCCGCCAGATCCTCTTTTTGGTTCGGATCTGTCCCAGTCGGCCGCACGCAATCGTTCGCTGGCTGGCATGGGTTTGACTGTTCCTCAGGCTCCGGCAGGGAAACCGGGCTTTGGAGCCAGGCCCTGCAAGACAAGCCCATTCGGGTGGCTCGTTTTTTTGTTGAGGGTACCTGTTTTTATAGCTTGAAATGGAAACCAGAAGGACAACCACCATTTTTTTGCCCTAGAACAGTCACCACCCATATTTTTCCCACTATTGGCAGGATCAGCCACGGCGGTCACTCAACGACTTAAGTTGGGGGGTGTATCAATAAAAGTACCGCCATCTGCGCTGGTGGTCTCCCAAGCAATTTAATCCCGAACCGACTTCAAGTCACCTCCGCATACAACGGGATACTCCTTGTTTTTGTGACCACCGATATGCAAGTCGTAATGAGGAGGAAGAACAAATCGGGTTCTCAAAAGCCATGCCAACAACCTTCAAGCAACCTGGAATCTGCAGAATTTCAATCCTTCAATCCCCGAAATCAAACAAAACACGGTTTTTCAGATAGGAAAAGACACCACACGGCATTGCAGAAAGGGGCACTCCAGTGGTCTGGACCAGTGTTCGCAAACGGTGCTTTCTTTTTCTGTGGCGAGCTCACCGGCCGCGGGGTGGGGTGGGGGGTGGGAAAAGTTACCGTGTAGGTCCTCTTCTTGGGGATCCAATTACTTTTTTAGTTTCATGTCACTCATTGTTAACTGAAGGAGCTTCCCATGTCCAAAACCACAGCCCCCAGCTAAAATCAAGGAACTTCTCATGTGCCACAAACGCCCCCAGTCCGAACACCTCCGAAGCCTTCGATGTCGCAGGTGCTGTCACGTGTGGAGGAGCTCCTGCAGCAGCTTAAGGCAGAAGCGGAGGCAGAGGCGCCATGGTTCGACCGCTTGGTTGTGTTCGAAAGCGAGAAGGGGGGGTGTGAATATTGATCAGAAACCCTTTGGTGGACATCATTTACATGGGGATCTATGTCCAGAAGCTGGTTCCCCAATGAATATTCATATCCAGCAAGGGATTTGTTTTTTAAGAGTTTCCCATGCTTGAGCTGCTCTAAATGCATTCTTTTGCTAATATGTTGCACAGGTTGATGTTGCCCATGTGAACTTTGGAGTCCGGACCCACAAAGCCCCTTTTAGACCACTGAAGCAAGAGAACCCTCAAACACCCAACCACATATGCACATACATATACATATAGACATATATACAAATTCGGTATATCGGTGAGGGTTCGTCAAGAGTTCCCTAGGAAACCACAATCACCGGTTTTCGATCGGTGATCGGTTTCGGCTCGCGTTGGAATGCTTCGGCAAATCTTGCATGCGGATTTGACCATTTCGGCCTCCACTGGCGACTAAGACATGCTCGTCAATCTGGGATCTCGCACGACTGCACGGTGTGAGCCAACGCTCATAGACGAGAAAAGCTGCCAGCGGCGCAGGCGACCAGAGCCATTCCGCCCAAGGCTTCTCAGACACGAGCTTAGCTGTCGCGCGTCTCAAAAGGTTGGGCGCTCCAAAATACCCCAGACCTTCAGCCCTCTGGACGGCGCGATGCAACATGGGCGCGCAAGCGACAAAATATGCTCGCAGCTGGAACTCTTAACGGGTCTGCACCCACATATATATATATATATGATATATATAATGAGTGTGTCCGTTTGCGCGGCAGTGTCTGCGTGAAACAAATATACGTCCTTTACACCCGCCGCATCGGCGCCGTCGCCGGGCCACTGTCCATCCCGGGACACCTACGTGACATCCTGGAGGGAAATTCACGGAAAGCAAGCTACCCTGCGTCTTCGCATGCTAGTAATGTTTGCGTGTCCAGCGTTCAAACATGGCTACGTTCACATCGTCTTCCTCCAATGCAAAATGAATGGTTGGTTGAACAGGCGCAGGTGCACAGAAACAAGCCGCGGACCTGCGAGCCTTCCTTTTTCGCGACGAAACATTCAGCTTGGCAAAGGGTACATTTGCCTGGCCGCATTTGGCACTCGGACGCCGCTCCTCGCATTTTGTTCTTTTGCCCCGGGGTCTGTGCCGAAGTGCTTGCCGGGCCTTGGAAAATGCCGGATTTCTTTCGGTCGTTTGCCGACGTTAGTATTTTGCAGCTCGCGGCGACGCAGTTCGCAATTTACGAGCCTAACTTCCGCAATGGCTTACATCCTTCCTAAGCGGCAGAAGTCTTTTGCTGTCCTGCCGGCCTATTTTTTCGTTTGGGATGCTTTGCGAGACCACATTCACTGCCTATTCATTTCATGTGTCCCGGTTGCCTTTCCGAAATCCTTGAGGCCCTTGGACGTGTGCCAGATGCTCACTGACGTCCAGCATGTTCTCGCGACTTGTGACAGGAAGATGCTGACCGGTTTACAGCAGTCTGGGCGATACTATGGGACTTGTGTTTGACGAAGAACCCAGGCCTTGCTTCATACTTCACCATCAACCTCAAGGAATGACAACAAGCGGGGACTCCAACGCACTGTGTCCACTCATTAACGTCCAATCCGGCTCGCTTTCCCGCAATCTTAGATTCAATCTTGAGCGTTGTGTGAAACCCTTCGCTATTAATGGGTTGTTTGCCCAATGCACAAGTTCCCCGAGGGGCAACTCAGCGGTCGTGAAACAGATCTGGCGGGATGCCTTTCTTGTTTTGTGATTAGCCGACAGAATCTTTGGCATTGATGAGGATACGTGGCCAACCGTTGGGCCATCATTCCTTCACGCTGGACGTTTCACCATGCCCTTCAACATTTCTCGACCCTCGGTTTTATGTGGATGCTGTGGTGTTAGTAGATGAACCTGGATGCGATTTGTAGGATTGACCATTGACGTTCATGACGTTCATGTCGAGTCCATTCAATTCGTGATTCTGGCGCCACAGTCATCCGCAGCTCATTCCCTGCCAGACTTACCATCGCCGAATGCGTCATGGAGTGGCATAGCATGTGGCATGCGATGTGAGGAAATCATGAATGTGCCCAAAGGTTGGCCACGTCCCTTGGCTAATCCTTGGCTAATTTGTCTTCCTAAAACTCGTCGCACGCTCCCATGGTTCAGTCAGAAGGTGAGTGCCACAGTCTGTTTCCCGCAACGGATGTCTCTTTACGACATGTTCATGTCATCTCGCACTAGCGATCCTGGACCGGGAGCTGCGTGCGTTCCCGTCCTTGCACTTGGCGCCGTTCTATCAACCAACTTGCACCACGAGCCCAGCTGCCAGCCAGTCAATGGGCAGTATCAGAAATTGCCTTCGCCTACCACTATTGGCGTCTCGTGACTATGATGCAATACGTCTCAATGCGTTCCATACCTACTTGATGAATTGTGGAGGCAGGCGCTTTGGCGAAAATCCTGCGCAACAGTCATTTGACCTGAGGCCAAGGCAAAGTTGCCTCTGCGAAACGCCTACGGAAACTGGCGACTGAGGTGTGGATGGTCAGGGTAGCTGCCATACACCATTCTCCACCCGACAACGAGTCCAGCGCGTCGCAAGAAGTGCCACCACACCGACTTCAGCGCTCGCATCAAGCTTTACTGAGCGAAAACTTGTCTGCCCCGTCACCGACCACAAGACCGCACTGCGCTGGCGCCATCGTGCGCAACTCCTCTCCTGCTCCGTTTCCACCGTGAAGTGTGTTCTTCCGCACCTTCGGCATCTTCATGGGACAGTGAGCCGTGGTCTTCCAGAACCCCGGCACGCCCACTTCAGCCTGTGGCCGACGAAAAACGCCCTCCTTTTCATGGACTCCTGACCTTGACAGGCGGCTCCGGAACATGAAGCTCAATGGGTTACAAGGCCATCGCGAAGAGGCTGAATATGACTCCCGAGAGCGTTAAAAACAAAGGGGAAGCCGTCAAAGGTGACTCGCGTTGTGTTTTCCAAGCCGTTTCGTAGTGCGATCTCGGCACTTTATGCTTTTGAGCGGTTGTGTGTGTGTGTGTGTGTGAACCGTCTTTACACATAGAGACGCTAACATATTTTTTTTGGGGGCCTGTGCCCTGGCTAGTCTTAGAGGTTCTGGGAATTGGGATGCCTTTCCAATGGGCTGCGTTTCAGACGGCGGTCAAAAGGGAAGGCCTTTGCAGGCCAAGCCGCCCAAGCAAGAAGTCCAATTGGTTCAAGCCATAGCCATCTATTTTGCCTTAAGGACACCTAGACAACACATGGAGCTAAAGCTGGGCTTTTGTAGCAATCAAGAGGAATGTGTACTTGGTCAACCAGTTCGCCAATACACACCCTTGCGCTTGTGAGTTCTGGTCGAGTTTCCCTGGTGCTCGGATCCTGTGCGCTAGGCATATCACCTTTCTCCGGAGCATCCCCCATGGCACACCGTTCGGCTCCCAAGTTCGGCTGACTGAAAGTTCGACTGGTTTGATCGCCTTTTGGCTGGCAATTGTGGGTGTGAGCTGCAACCACGACATGTGTTTCAGGGTAGACTGGATATTGGCATGAACCAATTGGGGGACATCACCTCGGTGGGGATAAAAGGTCCAGCAAACACCATAGGGGCGTGTCTTTTTTTCCAATTTGTGGGGTCCGGTTTTCTAAATTCGAGGCGCCCAAATGGTCTGGAGACCCCCAGGCAACGTCTGGGCTCGCTTCAACCTGCAACCGGCTTGGAGTGGTGTGAAAGGAACAGAGGAAGGACATCACGCATTGTGTTTCTTCTTTCTTTCTTTTTTTGGGGGTTCCCCTATTTGATACACACTGAGGTATGTTTTGATTTTGACTTAAGCGCAAGGTACTTTGGGGTCAAGTTTTATTTGGTTGAGGTTTGTGTGCTTGATCAACATTTGAGATGGATTCGATCAAGTTTTGTTGTGCGGCCCGGTTGTTTATCAACATTTGACATGGCGTTCGGCTTTTTTGAGGGCCAGTTGATTGATCAGCTTTTGACTTGAGGACCAGTTTTGCGTTTTGCTTGATCAACTTTTGACTGGGGGGACTGGGGACCCTTTTTTGGATTTCTTTCCATCTCAGATTCCTTTCCGGAATGTTTAAAGGGGACAGATGGGTCCTGCTTTGAGGGAGCCCTCGAATGAGTCGTTTTCTTTTTGGTGTCCCTTTAAAGGCACAAAGCTGGGGTACCCTCAAAAAGATGTCACGGGAGAACCCGTGCTATTTGGAGCTCAGTGACCTTTTGACCTTGTGTCAGTATTTAGTCAAGGTCCCACTCTGTATTTCTAGGTTCTTTTGGGCAAACCCCTACAGGGACCCCCCCAACCCCAACCTCCACCCGCCACCCACCCCCCCTTCCCCTCTTGCCAGGCAGAGACTGCGCCTTTCGCGCCCAATGGCAGGCTCCGAACTCGTGGCAAAAAGCGGGGAATTCGTGCGGCCAAGCGCCCCAAGGGTTCGTGAGGCCGATGTTTTTGGGCCTGGTGCAATTTTCTGGGTCGAGCTGTTGAGGTTTTCTTAAGATTGGATTCGCAGAAGGCTGGTTTGAGACTTGCAACCAAATCGACCGGATCTGACCTTTTGGTTTCCCCTGTTTGGTCCATTTGTTGTGGCCCTGAAGGTAAACACTTGTTTTTTTGGGCCTTTGGGCAACTGCGATTCGCCTACCGTGTAGAGTTGGCAACTTGGATTCACATTTCTTGGACCTGCAGGACTACTAATTTTCTGGCGACACCGATGGGTGAAACAAGCTCATGTAGGTTCTTTCCCAGAGGCTTGAATGCTTATGTCAAGTGGAATTGTTTCTGACACTTGCAGATAGTGGCAAGGTGGGGGATGTTTTTTTTTTTTTTTTTTTTTTTTTGGGGGGAAAACAATGAAGGTTTGCCTCTGAAATGGGTCAACAACACACATTGCCCGTTTGATCCATAGGAGTTTTGACTACTGTGCCAAGAAAGAGCTGGGCAAATTCTGAATGTGCCAACCTGACAAGCAAAGCTAAGGGACCATTGACATTCAGCACAACTTTTGGAGCTCGGCTGTTTGTGGATTCCGATTTCAAGATCAAAAGGAGAGATATTTTCAAGAAACCAGCAGGAAAGTCCGGAAATCCGACATCGAGAAATTCTGGCAGCCCGGTCCAAAGTCGGCTTTCTTTGCCAGGTGCCCTACGTTGCCGGGCAACCTGAGCCTCACCGAGGCCGGTTGAGGGTGGAACCCCTTTGCAATCAGCACCAAAGGGCTTGGACCACCTGAGACCAAAGGGAAACCACCTTTTTTGGGTTCCCCCTATCTATGTGTATATATATGTATATATATATATATATATATTTGTATGGGTACATAATTGAAAGTTTGCGTGGGGGCAGTGGTTTGGGGGTGGAAGCCTCTTAGACTCAACCGTGAAGGCTGTTAGGCTGCCAATTTTTTAGTTTCACCCTCGGCAAGAATCCGGACAGGACCCAGTGTCAGGCAGGCACTTTCGGATTTTTTGTCTTCCTTCATTTGCCCTCCTGTCCACATTGCCATGGAACCCACGTTTTCTATGACCCCGATCCATATCAGTGGGCAGCAGGGTACCCTTCCATCCAAGGATGGGCATTTCCAACACCCAGGGGGTACGGGTTTGCAGAAAATCCGACAACAAACTTGCGCTGGTCGGTTTTTCTCAGATCACTTGGCATCCAGCATGCATATAGCTGTGGCCGCGTGGAACATGCGAAATGCGTTTGTTCATTGGCCTACATAATGGAATGGGGTCGTGGGGTACTGTTGAACCAGGTTACCTCATGATGGGGGGAGTGTGTATTTGTTTAACCCTCTATATTATTCTAAGCAAGGGGGACCATCCATTCTTGGGAATGGCATCTTTTGGGGAACAGACTCTGTTTGGGCTTCCATTTTTAAAGCAGGTTTGGGACTGAGCAACCTCTCGGGATCTGAATTTTGACCCGAATTTCTCAGCGCCTACCAAAGGCAATGGGCTACACGGGGTTTGAGCTAGGTGTGGTTTCGCATGGGGGGTTTCTCAATGGCGAACCCGCGTCTGGTGTTTCTTGTGGGAAGCTGCAAGGAAATCAGCCATTGGTTGGGGGTGCAGACGCGCCATGAGAAATAGATGTCATTTGCGGCCAGGGTTACCAGCCACCCAAAGGCAGCCGAATAAGACGGCGGCAGTGCCAGCCCGAGCCGAGAAATGAGAAGCCCACAGGCCTTGGGTCCAGGGGTTTGCCCGGTCTCTGTGCTCGGGGGGTCCTTGCGTCCCAAATGCATGCGTGGACCGGGCCAAATTGAAACCGAAGCCAACTAGCCCAGCTCGTTGGCAAGCCGGGTTTTGGAACAGGCAGAGAAGGCAACACAGCATGAAAAAGATTGAACAAAAACAACAGAGTGCTGTACCCCGGGGCCCGAAATGGCGCGATTTTGGTTTCCCTTCTTGGTTTCCCCTTGCCCTCATACCCAAGGTCAACGCATTGAGGTGAGCGCCTAAGACCTGGTAGGTAGAACCAAAGTAGCACACCGTACTAGTAGACCATATATTAATATCTATATATATATATATACACACGTATAATATATATATATATATACACATCCCCCCGCTCCCAAAAAAGCAGCAACAACAACAAACCGCGCCTGCTGCTTGTGCAAGGGAAGTCAGGTCATTTTTACATGGATGTTGCCAGAAGTGGGCTGATTTTAAAATGTTGGTAGACTTGCGCAGATGATCTGAATAGTATATGCTTCCATTTCCTCAAACATGTTTGTGGATTTTTCGTTTAGATTCTTAGGGTCTAAGCCAGAATATTCCATACATACATCTCTCAAGGTTTTGAAAATGTCAGTCAATAATAAAACATCTGCTTTCACAGAAATCGTGATGGACTCTCATGTTTTCCTGTTACAATGTGTCCATGCTTATAGTCTTCATCACTACTGTTTTTCTCGTTCTTTTGACTGTAATACATCTCTGTGAGAGTACCGGCGCAAGGGTAGCAACAATAAAGCAAACAATGCCTCTTCTGTTTCGCCTACACATCTTCGATTTCTCATCTCAATTGATGTGCAAATCCTCTTCGTCTGTCAACTTATGAACCTGTGCCAATACCTGCTACGCATCTTCCATGTCTCATCTCAGCCCATCTGCAAATCTCCTTTGTCCGTCGGCTCATACCAAAAAACAACATTTGCTCACATCTGATATACCTTGACCAATGCCACGCTGTTTGCTAAAACAATTTTCCTGAACGAAATCTGTGAGGCACAAAACCGACTACGACGCATGCAACACACTGGTACTTGTAGTGTGTTTTTCAATATCCAAGGAGATTCTTTAAATCATTTTCTATTAATTTAATTATCCAAGGTCCATTCCAAAATAATGATAATAAGGTGCACAAGAACAGGAAGGACTGAAAGCAGTCGGCGCTTTAAAGCGCTTTCGGATCTAACATTAAATATTGCTAGGACAATGGTTCTTGAATCTTGAGCCCCAAAAGCGCTTTAAAGCGCTTTAAAGCACTTTTGGATCTACATTTCAAGATTCAAGATTTTCTTGAACCCAGTATGGGGCCCCCAAAACGCTTTAAAGCGCTTTCGTCCAGCTCATGGATTCAAGATTCAAGAACAAAGAGTTCTAGGATAGAGGCTCCAATCTTGAATCCAAGAGAATGAACACGCTTTAAAGCGCTTTACAGCGTTTTAGGGGCCCAAGGTGGATTCAAGATTCGAGATCTAGAGTCCTGGGAATCTTCAACCTTGAATCTTGAATCCAAAAGTGCTTTACAGCGCTTTCAAGCGTTTTTGGTGGATAGAGGTGGAGTCAAATGTGCATAGTTTGATGGGATTGGGGTGCCTGAAAAGGGGGTGGGAAGGGGGGGATTCACCGTATATATATAATATATATATATATATATATATCAGTATGACATGATGACCATCTTAAAGTCTAGAACCAGAAGTCGGTTTCGGGCGCTGGTGAGGTGTTCACCGGGTCCGAGAAACCTTCGGAGGTCTGTTCGCCGGTCGAAAGCATCGACGAGCCCGATGAGCGCTTCGACCGGCTCCCCCCTGAGCTTCCGGTCAAGCCGAAGCTTACAGTTTGTCAAAGCTTCCAGTTTGCACTCTTGTTTCATTTTTGGGCCCCCCTTTCTGAATGGCCCGATATGGAAAAGGCCTTCCTTGCGAGGCCTTCCTAAAGATGGCGCTTTGTCCGAGCCGTTTCAGCGAGCATTGGAGGTTGGATCCTTCGGGATTGGATGGTGATCAAGCGTGCCCAAAGGAAGACATATACAATCTAGAGAGAAGTCTGCCCCGATATTCAGGGCTCGATGCAAGCCACCGCATAGCCAACTAAGTTCGCGCGTTTCGGAGATTGGGGACCAACACTGAGCCAGTGGCTTTCTCAAATGGGTTGAGACCTTTTACGCGAAGCAAAAGGAATCTACAAAGGAACATGGTTTTGCAAAGTCAGGTTTACCATCGATTTCTGAAGGGAATCCAATCTTAAAAACACCAGAAGGGCCCACTTTGGCGTCACAGAAAGGCGGATTATTTCCCATAAGCATGAAGAAAAGCAACTTGGAGGGTCCAGTAAATTTAAGATACGGAATATCATCGATCTCGAACAAATCTTTCCCGAACACGAACACAAGGCGGAAGAAAGGGCATACAAAGGATCGACAATGGAGCGTGTAAAGAGTATATCAGGGATGCACAAGGGGTATTTTCTGGGTTTGCGTGACTGTTCTTTCTCTTGAGTTTGTCAGGAGGATCTCCCATTGATTTGCGCAGGCTTTTCTTCAGGAAGCCCTGAGTTGGTGGAAAAGGGTGCGATTGATTTGAAGCTCTTGGTTCTTGTAGAGGTAAACGGGAAGCCACCGGAAAATGCCTCCGAATCACCAATGCAAACCATGAACTTGCTTGTTCTTAAGCTACCACTTGGTTGGGAGGTTCATTCAAGCTTTTTTTCGCACCTGGAACAGGCAACGCGACTAAACATAGAGCTTCAATTTCAGAAGGCATGGATGCTGGCAGTGCTGATGATGTCGGCAGCAGGTCATGCTGGTGATGCTGGTGCTGATGATGTTGGCAGTATGCATGCTGTGCTGGTGATGCTGGTGACGTCAGATGAATGGTTTAACAGTAGACTTCGCAAAGCGATTGGTTGGAACCAGGCTGTGAAGGGCACTTGGGCATGAAAACGCTTGAAGCGTTTTGTGCAGCTGAGGCGGAACAACACACGCGCGAGGACAGCGCCGACTCGCGAGTGATGCAGACTTGGAGGGCACCCTTCTCGACAAGTGACCACCCCACGGGTCACCCCATGTCATACGCTCCTGAAAGTGTACTTTCAGGGGTTTGAAGCGGTCTTAGGGCACATTCGCGGGGTACACGACAAAAGTGGAACTGTTTGACTTTACACTCGCGTGTTGTAGCCAGTTTTCAAGTGGCACCCTGTGCCTGCCCAACTTTAGGTGCCTATGTACCAGAGATACTAATGACTCATTAAGTGGGAGGTCATCGAAGTAGTGTCTTAAATGGGTCTTATCATTACTCAGGTAACGGTTATGGTCGTTTGCTCATTCGTTTACTCAATTTCGGGCTTCTCAACATGCTGGACTGTTTTGGACAGGATAGCAAAGATAGCAAGAACACCGTGTTCCCATTTTGGCTTCATCATCCCCTTGATTTGGTTCCAACTAGATGTGTTCAAGTTTGAAGGGATATCCTTTTGAGTGGGGTGATGTTAGAGGAAAGAACGGGATTTCTGTTGCTTGCCCACAGAGTTGTACCGCTCATGGTTGGCGGGGCAAAGAATTCACATAAATTCAACGGCTGCTGTGGGGAGGAACCCATTGTCAGCGCTTGACAGATCCTTTTTTTCTTTGGTGAAAGATCAGTTTGATTGTGTAGGGGTGAAGGCCAAGCCCAGAAAGCACCAAGGGGGCAAGTTGGCGACGCTACATGACAAAAACAAACGCACTGCAGGAGCATGCCCAGCACCTCGCAACTGGGCAAGCATCTGGACGGAGAAGCCAGTTGAAATTTGGATTGACTCTTTGGAGTCCTCACATCACTTGCCCTTGTCAACCTCTTGTGCTTGGTGTCAGCTTGCGTGAGCGTGGGTTAGTGCTGCATGTTGTGTGTTTGTGTGTGCATGGTGTTTCCGGTGTTTGGCTTATAGGGTGTGGAGGACGGAGTAGAAGTTTTGCTCCCACCCTGCTTCGCTCCCACCCTGTTGCCATGCACTCGCAGTCACATTCCAAGTCGACCGCTTTGTGCTGGCTGTACAACCAAGCTCGGACGCAATGCTCGTTGCATCGTTCGTTGCATCGTGCGCTCAGATGTGTTAGCTGTGTGTCCACATTGCCACGCCGGCCTTTAGGTGACCGTGATGCCACGCCCAAGCGTGTCGTTTCCCAATCAGATTCAGCATCACCCAAAGCCGACATCGAGCCACGATAGTCGTGCGAAGACACACTCTTGGGGGAGTTGGGCGGTGCGGAGATACATTCTTGGAGCTGCCCTCCTTTTTCCTTGGAGGATCGTTTGCCCTCAGAGTTTGGATGCAGACTCAGATGTGACACCCCATGCAGTTCCGCCTAAAAAACGGAACTATGTCCGAGCGATTGCGATTGAGCCTCTCTGATTGATTTCAGTTGCCCACTCATCCACATATATCTATGGGTTTGGTTTGCTCTTTGACCCAAGTGCTTTTGACGATGGTAGATGCAAATGAATCTTGGTCTCCTTTAGCACTTTTTACTGCGTGGTTCCCAGTCATCCCCTAAGGCTTTTAGCTTTTTAGTTGGTTTAGTGGTACTTTCTGCTACAACACCAAAGTTGTCGACTTTTAGCATCTCAAAGCAGCCCAGTTTTGCATAGTACGTTTTGGGCAGTTCGTCCCTCGAAGATCGCCCTCCAAAGCCCAACCGACGAATCCGAGGCCAAGCAGCGCCTTGAAGATGGAACAGGTTTGCACGCAGAACACGGAGGCCTTCGCAGTATTGTTTTGTTTACTGGCTACAAAACTTGCTTGTTTAGTTGTTTGTGTTCCCCAATTTGACGTGCTTTGATTTGTTTGCTTCCTTTTTCTCCTGTTTGCTTTTCAATTTGTGTGTTTGTTTGTTTGTTTGTTTGTTTGTCTGTGTGTCTTGCTTGTTTTTGTTTGTTTGTCGTTTGTTTTGTTTTGATGGTTGTGTATTTTCTTTCTTGCTTATTTGGGTGCTTGTTTGTTTGAATTGTTTTTTTGTTTGTCTTTTGTTTGTTTGATTGTTTGTTTGTCTGTCTGTCTGTCTGTCTGTTTGTTTGTCTATGTGTCTGCCTGTTTGTTTATGTGTTTGCTTGATGGTTTATGTGTTTGTTTGTTAGGTTGTTCGTTCGTTTGTTTGTCTGTGTCATTGCTTCCTTGTTTCGCTGCCTATTGTCTTCTGTCTTCATTTGTCGCTTATTTGTTCATTGGCGTGTTATTTCCAAAGATCGCACTGTGTTTGTTTGTTTATCAATTGTTTGTTCCGTGTTTATCGAATCATGTTGTGTTTGTTTGCTTGATTGCCTGCTGGTTTGCTTATCGATTTATTGCGTTGTTCTGTCCGTGCTTGGTTGCTTGTTAGATTATTTGATTGGTTTGTTTGCTTGATTGATTGATAGATCGATCGGTTGACTGATTGACTGATTGACTGATTCACTGATTGATTGATTGATTGATTGATTGATTGATTGATTGATTGATTGATTGATTGATTGATTGATTGACTGACTGACTGACTGAGTGACTGACTGACTGACTGACTGACTGACTGATTGATGGATGGATGGATGGATGGATGGATCAATTGATTGTTTGTTTCTTTGTTTCTTTCTTTCCTTCCTTTTTACAGATTCTTCTATCTGTTTCTTTCCTTGTTTGTGTGTTTGCGTGTCGTTGTGCTCGTGTGTTTGTGTTTGTGTTTTGGTTTGTTGGCTGGTTGGTTGGTTGCTTGCATGCTTGCCTGGTTCCAGCAACTGCAGATGTATGTTGTAGTAGTACCTGTGTGCTGAGTGTGTCGCCACTCTATCCGGACTACGCGTCAACCACTTCAGACATAGCAGTCAGCTCTCCGGGTGAAGTAGTCCAGCCTCCTTGCCGCAGAGTTCCAGCTGAGCTGTCTGACTTCAGACGTCACGAGTATCGACCTGAACACGTTCCGCAACTTTCACAGCACTGAATAGTGAACATACACCAGTGCAGACACAGTCGCGATTTCTGGGCAAGGTCTGCACATTAGGAAGGGCTTCCATCTGCGAGCAATTCCTCTATGATTTCCTCGTACGCTAGGTCGTTCACATGGTCGATGTTGGTAGCCTGCTTGCCCTTATGAAAAACAAAAATCCATGACGTTGATGTTGATAGCTAACAGTAGTAGCAGGAACACTTCCCAGCGCCAGACGGCTGCAGCACACGCCCTCATGTTGGCCCCGGACTTATACACCCCTTGTTGATTTTTAGGGGGGTCTCCCCAAATAGTGGGGAACCAGCACTTTTGGAGGGAACCCCCCCCTGACAATGGGAGAGGTTTATTAATCCTGGGTCAACATTACCCGAGTCGGCACTCCATCCCTTCGACATCTTGGTCTACTGGCCAACAACGGTGGCAACTTTGGTATAATTGCACCGGTGGTTGATGTGCTATGCTGTCTTCGTGTGCAAAAGACGGTCACATTGTGAGTTGATTGCTTCTCAGACGGACTTTGTGTGTCTAAAACAAGTAAGCTTGGTCTGTGATGCCCTTAGATGTTCGGACTGCACGCGCGCTACACTGACACGATCAACGAGTATCGGTAGGCTTGCTCGATGGATTGCTTGTTTGCTGCAAAGTTCTTATTTAGTGTTTGTGTGATTTTGTATACTCATGTTTAGCATCATTAACTATTCCAAACGTGTGTTTGTTTGTTGGGAGTGTCACTTTACAGCCTGGCTTGCATGCCAGGGAGATTGCTTCACGGTTTCCTGGAAGTCCCTTGTTGAGACTTGCAAAAGTGCCAGTTTGATTGGCCGCGTTTTCCTTCTCCACAATTTCCCTTGTTACCTCCAAAAGGGCGATTGCTTCAATGGGCGCCAGGCCGACGGGGCCTTCCCGCCACACCCCCGGCTTCTTGAGCTCTTCCACGAGGCTGGGCTTTTTTGGGTTTCCAAGAGAAGGTATTTAGACGGGAGTTTGGCGGATGTCTTGTTACAGGGAATCCTTGGGGTTTTGGGATTTGGGATATGAAACCAACAGTTGGGTGGTCAGGAGTCAGTCCAGGTCATTCCCTGAAAGCCAGGAAAGTTCCCAAAGTACGTTCCACAATACAACAACAATTGCAAGTCTCTGAGCATAGGGAACTTGAATCAGGTAAGGCGGGGTGGCCAGATCAAGACTTGCTGAATTCTGACGCCCAGGTTCACGAAAGCACATTGGAACTGGACGCTCCTGCCAATGGCTCCACTTTCCACTTTTCAGTTACCCCACGACTCCGAAGTTACGAAATCTTGGCTCCTTTTCCCACGCAGAATGCAGCCTAGAGAAGGCGGGAGCCAAGTGGGCGCTGCCCCACTTCCCTGTGCCGAGCAAACGCTGTTTCACCATCTCGTACTCGCGGTCCTGCTCTCCATTGCAGCGCTTTCGGATCCTCGGATGGTTCAGCCTCCAGCAACCCGATCTCTTAGGGAATGAACCGGTTTCAGCTCAAAGTCACTCCAACTAATTCTTTGGAATATCGAACCGATCGCAAGAAAACACCAATCAGTCTTTTTTCCCCCCAAAACAAATCAACAAGGAAGTCGCTTATAGGAGCCTCCTGGCTGATTTGTTGTTTCTGTCACCACTTCCCGCTTCCGGTGACAACAGATGGCCTCAATTGGTTTCGATTGTTGTGAACTGAGGATTGCAGAGGGTAAATGAGACACCACACCAGGGCTCTGGCCGATGCGCAGAGGCACGACAACCATTCTCCTGTTCGGGGTTAGGCCCTCCCACGAGGCGAGGTTGGGCATGCCGCTGCGGAAGATGTTCTCGCAGCAGGGCTCCACCTTTGGGCTCGTGGTGGATTCCTGGCGCACCTGGCGCGTCAGCCCCTGGGAGGAGGCGAGGCGTGTTTTGACACCTCAGTTTCACACACGGAGACTCGCCGTTTTTGTTTTTGGATTTGAGTTTTCTTTTGCGGAGACCCATTTGGGAAGTATGGCCTTACATGGCCAAATAAGATGAGGCCAAGGCTAAGCGATGCCTTTGGTTTTTTGGCGAGGCCTTGGGGTCTGGAAGGCCTGGTTGGTGACTGGACTTGGTGGGTCCTATGTTATTGGCGAGCAAAAACCGGAGTAGATGGAGCCTACGCCGTTCCTGAGTTCTTGGGATCTCCCGTTTCAGGCTTTGGAATTGTACCCCATGCTCCAAATCCTTTTTTTGGGTTTATAAAAGGTATTTGTTCCCCACATAGTGTTTACACTAAGGGGTTCTTACGGAAAGATTTAAGGCCGGGTTAGATCGAGGTTCGCGCTAGGTTCGCGCTGGGTTCGCGCTAGGTTCGCGCTGGGTTCGCGCTAGATTCGCGTCGCCCTGTGCGTAAAAAGTTGTTTTCGGTGCGACAGTCTCGCGCGAAATGGAGGTTCGCGCTGGCACGTGCGTCTCGCTGTGGTGTCGTTCACATTCTTTTAATTTTGGCTGGCAGGGGCCACAGTTGGGAGGTTCGCACGATGATCTTTTGATGAAACCGCTGCGACGTGGGGGTGTTTTTTTGAGGAAGCCTCGTGCCAAACGCGTTTTTTGAGAGCAACGTGCTTTTTTGATGGCAGGGCCTATCTTCTTGTTGGGTCAGGCTACGACGCTTGGGCAATCGGAGCTGCAAAGCCAAGGCAGTGGTCGTCTTGCGTGCACGATCTCCGTAAAGGGTTCACTTTCGTCTGGCAACGCTTGCAAAGGAGTTCAACGATTCGCCTGCCACGAAATTCACAGACTTTCCTGCCACGCATCCTGTAGCATCAGCGCAAAACATACTGCGCCCGCCACGAAAAACGCACGGCAGTCTCACAGAATGCAGCGCTGGCCATGGAACTCTGCGGCAATACGCAAATCCGAAGTTTGGCGCGGCGCCACAGCGAGAGCGCAGTTTTGAATAAAGGTCCGTTTCATGCGAAGCTCTCGCGTGTCGAAGCGCTCTCGCTGTGGTGCCGTGCGAATTTGTCTTGCTCGCGGTGAACCCTTTGCGTAGATCCTGCGTGTCGAAGCGCAATTGCTGTGGAGCCGTGCGAATTCGTCTTGCTCTCGGCGAACCCTCTGCGGAGATTGTGCGTGTCGAAGCGCTGTCGCTGTGGCGCCGTGCGAATGTGGCTTGAGCTCGGCGAGCCCTCTGCGGAGATCCTGCGTGTTGAGACGCTCCTGCTGTGGTGCCGTGCCCCTCTGCGGAGATCCTGCGTGTCGAAGCGCTCTCGCTGTGGCGCTGGGCGAATTTGTCTTGAGCTCGGCGAACCCTCTGCGGAGATTGTGCGTGGCGAAGCGCTCTCGCTGTGGCGCCGTGCGAGTGCGTCTTGCTCTCGGCGAACCTTGTGCGGAGATCCTGCTCGTCGAAGCGCTCTCGCTGCGGAGCCGTTCGATTTTTCTGTTCTCTTCGCTTGCAAACCGGTGTTTGGAGTTGTCTCGTTGTTCGCGCGTCTGCTTTCACGATCGCGCGTTGTCTCGGGTTTCACCTGCTTGGTCCGAGGCAGCTCCGGATTGAAATCGTAACTATGAATCACGAAAGTAGCACGCGAAGAGCAAACCCAGAGTTTCGGCTGCAATTCGCAACTTCTAAGCGCAAAAGTAGTACGCGCAGTGCGCTTCCGCAGCTCCGGCACGAAATGCCCAAGTTCAAGTACGAAAAGTAGTGCGCGAAGCTCCGGCTGACAAGTCGCAAGTTTTAAGTGCCAAAGTAGTACGTGAAGAGCATTTCCAGAGGCGGCTGCAAAATCGCAAACTGTAAGTACAAAAGTGGTACGCGAAGTGCACTCCCGCAGATCCGGCTGAAAATTCGCAAGTGTTAAGAAAAGTAGTACGTGAAGAGCATTTCTAGAGGCGCGGCTGCAAAATCGCACATTGTAAGTACAAAAGTAGCACACGAAGTGCACTCCCTCAGCTCCAGCTGAAAATTTGCAAGTTTGAAGAAAAGTCGTACGCGAAGAGGAGTTCCAGAGGCGCGGCTGCGAAGTCGCAAATTGAATTGTAAGTACAAAAGTAGTACGCGATGCGCACTCCCGCAGCTCCGGCTGAAAATCCGCAAGTTGTAAGTACAAAAGTACGTGAAGAGCTTTCAGAGAGGTCCGGCTGCAAAATCGCAACTTTTAAGTGCAAAAGTCGTGTGCGAAGTGCGTTCCCATGGCTTTGGCCAGAACTGTACGTGAATTGCATTCCCGCAGCAGCTCCAGCTCCGGCTGCAAAGTCGTAAGTGTTTTCGCGCAAAGGTAGCGTGCGAAGCGCGCTCTCGCAGCTCCAGCTCGAACATCGCAACTTCAATCTTTAAGTGCGAAAGTAATGTTCGGAAAGTGCGCTCTCGCATCTCCAGCTCAAAAATCGCAACTTGCAAGCGCAAAAGCAGTATGCCAAGACACTTCTGCAACTAAAACCGCCAGCCTTCTTGCACAGCCAAACTGCACGCAGATATGGGGGCAAGAGACAAGGGCATGAAAGGTTGGGTGAGAGAGGTTGCGCAGCATCACGCGCGAGAGGGACCCTCACGCATAGCATCATGCGCAGCATCATGCACGGCGGCGTGTGCAACGTCACGCGCAGCATCGTGTGCAACATCATGCCTGCGCAGCATCATGCGCAACATCACGTGTAGTTTCACGCGCAGCAGCGTTAAAACACAGCGTAGCACGCAAGAGAAGTTGACAGGAAATATTGTTTCCAAGCGCAGCGCCAAGCTTGCTCATCAGATCTTGCAGAAGCTACGAAGGGACATTGATGTGTTTAATTACGCTTGTTTCTGACCTGCAGTGGGAGAGGTATCAGAGTTATTTAACGTCTTTCTATGCTTCCGCCACCAGTTGTTAAATTAAACCCAATACTATTTGGGGTCTCTTGCCGGGATAATTGGACAACATGGTTGACATCACACCCAAACAAACGGGCATTTGGAGTGGGGGGTACAAACTTGGAGATTTCCCCAGCTTTACCACAACCACCCAGATTATGAAGGCCACGGGGTGGTGCGCGAGTTTCATGATCCTTGCGGAGCTGTTGCTCATGCCCCTGGGCGCCTTCTCTCCCTTACTGGAC